TTTTTCTCCCTCTGTGGCCCTAATATTCTATCATTTTATATATAGCCTTATAGTCTATGGGAAACTGTAAATTATCTAATGATAGCAACATCATCTAAAAGTCATCATTTATCCAAAATGATTGAAATTAATGATCACAAACGTTTAAACAATGACAGTGGGTCTAATTATATGTGATAACAATGTATAGTGTGCAGTGAAATAACTATTGGTTTCCGTTTGTGGTGACTGCTGACTGACATAAGGGATGAGATTAAATAAATCCTGGAACTTAGCCTGGTCTGGAGCAGGCTAGCTCCACAGAATAAATCTCCATGGTAATTTATACCATAACATCCTACCGCCATCTAATCCAGCTTTAGTGCAACCGGATCACGGATAAATTGAGCCAGGATCACCAAGATATCCCGGCTTAATCTCTTATCCTAGTTTTGTGCAATAGACCCCAGGAGGCAGTGTATAATGTTTACTAGAGAGGGTAAATCATAGCACAAAGGCTAAGACTAGCAGTGAGGATAGACTTTATTTTACATTTTTATTGATGAGACACTTCATTTCAGCTGGGAAACCTCATGGAAGTATGCACCAAGCATCTTGATTCCCTGAATATAGTTGGATCTGGAAATGGAGAAATAAAAAAGTGAGGCATCTGTTTAACTGGTGAACAGTTGGTTTAATTACAAGCTGTAATACAAAGTTCATTGTAAAGATCTTAAACTAGAGCTGATAGATAATAACCTAAAGCTTTAAAAAAATGTTTTCCTTAGTATCATCCAATTATTCCTTATTCCAGTAACCAAATTTTGAAATCCACTGAGAAGCTTTTTGAACACTGAAAATTTCCCCTCTCTTCTTAATCACAGCGATTCACGTACAAAAAGAAATGAAACCATGTTCTGTGACATACCTGTTGATCTTCTCATTCTGGGAGTGAGCTCCATCATCACTGGATCCAATAGGAAGCAGCATGACATTACGCCCTGTGGCCTCCTGGAAGGTGAGTGTGACGGGGATGCTTCCACCCTCACGGGTCAGATCAGGCTCTACACCAAAGACTATGGCACAGCAAGGAGGACAGACAAAGGAAATAGTGAATCTGAGCAAAACATGTCAAATGAGAAAAAAAAAAATATGAAGGATGGGTTGTATCAAAAATACAATATTCCTCCATATCCATTAGCTATCTGCTAAACAAAGATCAGATGGAGTAATGGAGCAGTATGTTTTGAGTGAACTGATTCTTTAATCTTATACACTTCTATGAAACTTGTGTCACTCAGTGGTTGTACCTGTTTTCATGGCCTTTCGACCAGCCATGTAGTGTGGGTGGTTGAAGTCAGAGACCCAGGCCCTGGCTCCATGGCCCATGGACACTTCCAGTTTGTTGGGGCTTCCCAGTTCAGCAAATGTCTTCTGCAGGTGGTTGATAACCTTGACAATAAGGAAGAGAAATACTAGTAAACTCAAAGCACTAAGGATGGGTGAAGATTTTATTGTCTGTGAGAACAAATGTTAGATATTTAATATCTAAACAGTCCCATAGTTAGATTTTTGTCATTACAAGACTCTAGTGGCTGGCAAAGAAATCATGTTTTAAAATTCACTGACTTAGACTTTTTCTACACCACCACCAGTGTTCTAGTCACATGAATGCTACCAGATGCTTAATCTGGTGGACTGATTGTGTCTGTATTAGACACAATCAGTCTTAGGTATTTCATGGTTTACCTGCTTCTCCACAACTTTGGGGTCCATGTCAGGAACAAGGCGGATGGAGAACTTGCCAATGACCTTGCGTGGGATAACGGTCTTGGCTCCTGCTTCAGAGAAAGCCCCCTCAATTCCATGAAGAGATAGAGAAGGGTACCTCCAGCGGTGCATTAGGATTTGCTCCTACAGGGGAAAATGTAGAACAATACACTATAAATAAGAATGAATTACCATTAAGTAACTCAGGGTAATGAAGCAGTTTTTATTTTATTTAACACTGAGATGTCAGTTCCTTGCCTTGCTCTCATGCAGCAGCTGTCCACATCCGACATCTTTACAGTACTCATCCAAGTCAAACTCTATCTTCTCATACAATTTTTTCTCCTCTTCTGTCAGAGGGGCCACGTCATCATATATCCCGGGAATTAAGATCTTCCCCTTCCTGCCTACCAGAGAGCCTGTTTTGGAAGTAACATGCACAAGATTCAAAGTCTTATGATTCAAAAAGAGACTGCACTCTGTCTCAAAATGCTGCTCAATCAGTAGCTTCACTTGCCCATAAGTGCTATAAGGTCAGTCATAGCTTCATGGACAGAGCCGCCAAACACCCCTGAGTGCAGGTCCTTGTCACAACACTCCACCTTTAAATTTAGAAATAAACAATCATTTCAGTGTGTTGCATCAAAACAATGTCACATAAAAGAAGGAAATAAACCTGTGTTATGCTGAAACCCTACATTTCAGTAGGATTAGGGGGCTTTTTTGGTCATAGTTTAACTAATAATGTAAACAGCACTACAATCAGATACTACCTGGATGCAGAAGTAGCAGATTCCTCTCAGACCATAGGTGATGCAGGGTTTAGTCTTGCCCAGCCAGTAGTTGTCAGAGATGCAGACATAGTCCACATCTTTAAAGAAGGTGTCTTTTCGAGAAAAGACCAGCTCATCCAGGCCCTCAGATCCAGACTCCTCCATACCCTCGAAGCAGAATTTGATGTTGATGGGAAGCTCCTGCAACGTGAAGAGAAATAAGGAGAAAGATGAAACTCCTGTTAGAACCTCCATATACTGTACTGTATATCATCATCAGGTATCACTGTGCACAACAACAGGTCAGATGAAAGGCCTTTGTTTAAGCTTAGGGTCATCATGAAACTGTACAAATAACTGTTTGTTTGATGCATGACACACCAATGTGGAAGTCTCTAGCACATATTTCACTTTTCATTGACAACCTGACTTTACCTGCTGGATCTTCTGATAGGCCTCAATGCAGTTAAACCAGGCCAACACCGGACCCTTGTCATCAGTGGAACCTCTTCCATAGAGCTTACCTGCAAAAAGAGAAGTGTTTTAGTTAAAAGTCAAGGAACTTTTCCACAGGTTGAAAAGTTCGAATGCAGGTCTACGGTCAAATGGAGAGTAAAACATGGCATAAGCAAGAATAGAGCTGAACAGACAGGAATGAGACAAGAGGAAGTGAATGTGGTACTGTCAGTCAGATGACTATAAACAGACAATACACTGCATGAAAAATCCAACAAACCACGAAAGGAAGGAGGAAAATAATCTCCAACAGCTGACAGCCTACTAATGCCAATGTCATCAGAAATTAACTGCAAATACAGTACATGTCTTAATAATGCATTCTGCATTGCTTAACAATTCACAAACCACTGCCAGAGTTAAAAATTATTTCAGTGCAGCATTTGCATTATTATGTCTAATGCAGCAAAGGCAACAACTCAGGAAGGCTGTGACAGCTTAATGATGCAAAAACAAAAACGATTTTGTGGGTAAATAATAAATATGGAGAAGTATATGCAAAAATAAATAATGTCTGTTGTCATGGAATTATTTACTACTTTTAAATGTTTCATTTGAGGGCTCTTGTATTGTGAAATGGTGAATCTGCTTGATGAGGTCTGCAGATTAGAGCTGATAAAGAACACGGCTCTACCATAAAATAGGTTCTAAATGGGCTGGACTTTGGAATTAAGCATTTAACTCTGATATAAACAGACAGGACTGATAAAAGTTCAAAGAGCACTTAATCACAAAGTTACATTTAAGAAAGGATGATTAAACAATTTCTATGCCCATCAAAGGAGTTTGGTGTCAATGTTTTGTGAAACTGAGGTGAGTGTGACACACAGGCAAACTTTGGTTCTGTTAAATTACCAGTTTAATTTTATTCCGTAGCCTGGTCACTGCTCAGTTCAACTACATTTTGTTAACTGTCCCTTTTGTTTCTTACATCAGAGCTTATTTTACTGAGATTTGATACTACAGGTTTGCAAAGTTGAAAATGAAAGTGGTGTAATAATTACGAACAAGAGGTAATGCATGCCCCAAAAGCATTCCAGTGCTCCTCCAGTTTCACTTTGAATGTTCTAGATTATTTGGAAACTGCTGCAGAGTTACTTTGTAAACTATGTAACGCAAAATGAAACCAAACAAGTTTTTACCATCTCTCTCCGCTAGAACGAAAGGTTCTGTATCCCAACCGTCATCGAGATTTGCTGGCTGGACATCAAGGTGACCGTAGATGCACACGGTTTTCTTGCCTGGGTTCGACCCCAGATGTCCCAGGACAATAGGAGGTAGGGGGATCTCCTCTCCAGAGGGAAGCTGCATGAACATAATGTACAATATAATGACTACATATGCAATAGCTGATGGATCAAAGGCAGCATGATCCTCCAAATACAGGTTAAACAGAAAAATCAATGAAAAAGTTGCCCATTACTCATTATGACATATACAGTAAGTTAACTAGCAATACAAGTAAGAAATTAGAGACTTTTTTAACAAATATCACACGGTCTGACCTTCTGTTTGCCGATGTCCACCATCTCCACTGTGCCCCCAAGCCTCTCAATGTCCTTGGCTGCCATCTCCATCATCTTCTTGATCTCCCCACGCTTCTCTGGCCAAGCAGACACACTCGGAACACCCACCCATTCTGCTAGGCGCTGGGATACAAAGATAACTCTGACAAATCCAAATGTCTTTGTAGAAAGAAATTCTTGATAAAATGATATAGTGCTATGTTATGTATTTGCAAAACTTTTCAAATAATTGTTTAATCTGTTTGACCTTTGTAAAAAGGACCCATGCACATGAAATGCTTGTGAGTAGATGCAGAGACTCACAACAACAGGAAGTCATGCAGATACCTACTGAGATCACTAAACTGTCGAGAATTCTCTGGCCAAGAATAGTGTGTGAGTGTAAGGTCTGATTGCCTTGGCTTCAGATTATCAACATTTATCAACATATGAAATTCTAGGATTGACATTATAATCTGCATTAGCAAATATATTTACATGTTTATTTTAGTATCATATGCCTTATAATCTACTTTTGTTTTAACCAGTTCACTTGTCTTTAAGAATATAGGAGACATGTGTAAGGCTGTAAGAGTAGACAGGAAACCACATACAGGAAGTAGACCACGGTCCTAAATCTGCAGACAACAACTACAGTAAATCACATGATACGCCGCACGCTGCATCAAATTGGTCTGCAAGGCTGTCGTCCCAGAAGGAAGCCTCTTCTAAAGATGATGCACAAGAAAGCCCGCAGACTAAGGATATGGATTTCTGGAACCATGTCCTGTGGTCCGATGAGACCAAGATAAACTTATTTGGTTCAGATGGTGTCAAGTGTGTGTGGCAGCAACCAGGTGAGGAGTACAAAGACAAGTGTATCTTGCCTACAGTCAAGTATGGTGGTGGGAATGTCATGGTCTGGGGCTGCATGAGTGCTGCCGGCACTGGGGAGCTACAGTTCATTGAGGGAACCATGAATGCCAACATGTACTGTGACATACTGAAGCAGAGCATGATTCCTTCCCTTTGGAGACTGGGTCGCAGGGCAGTATTCCAACACGATAACGACCCCAAACACACCTCCAAAATGACCACTGCCTTGTTAAAGAAGCTAAGGGTAAAGGTGATGGACTGGCCAAGCATGTCTCCAGACCTAAACCCTATTGAGCATCTGTGGGGCATCCTGAAACGGAAGGTGGAGGTGCGCAAGGTCTCTAACATCCACCAGCTCCGTGACGTCATCATGGAGGAGTGGAAGAGGATTCCAGTGGCAACCTGTGAAGCTCTGGTGAACTCTATGCCCAAGAGGGTTAAGGCAGTGCTGGAAAATAATGGTGGCCACACAAAATATTGACACTTTGGGCCCCATTTGGCCATTATCACTTAGGGGTGTACTCACTTTTGTTGCCAGCAAGGAGACATGTGTAAGGCTGTAAGAGTAGACAGGAAACCACATACAGGAAGTAGACCACGGTTGCATAGCAACGCTCGAGGTGCTTCCTCTAAAACTGTCTATTGAAAGGTCAGGATATGTTGTACTGAGAATGTCACAGATCAAAATCTGCCTGGCGACAAGATCACCAAATGAGGGGTCAGAACGAGGTCAAGAAACCAACCAAGGAACGAGGATGAAGGACAACGCGGATGACGTCAGATCATTTGCATGACTCTTATTATAAATTCTCTATGCAGAGGAAACTTGTCATTCCGGCTTCCTGCAGCAGCTATGCACTATACTTCTGTGTGATAGGGCTTCAGAAAGAGACGGAATCCAGAGCTCTGTATTGCTTTTCTTGAATAATTTTTCTTAAATAATAAATATCTCAAAGGACAGATTTGTCTTTGAGCATTCTTCATAAAAGGACACGCAGGACTGGTTTAGTCCAACATCTTCTAGAAAACAGTATGGGTGTTTCATACAACATGAGTATGCTTCAGGATTTTTATGCTCACACTCTGTTTGCAGCAAGACTGTGTGTGTTACATTTAATGTCTCTACAAACTAAACTGATTTGTGGTTTCACTGGTTGTATATTTATGCCGTTTGACACACTAACTCCAGCTCACTCAAAGTTAATGAGTAACATTTCACTCAGTATTAAAACCAAACATCACACTTTCATCAGGTTTAGACAGCTGCAGTCTAATCATCACATAACAGCAAAAAGTCCTACAAGGTGTAACCTAAGATTTAAGAATAATATTAAAACCTCAACAGTGGTCTTACCTGCACATACAAATCCTGGTGTTCATCCACATACTTGAAAAGCGCTGAGAGGTGAGCCATCTTTTCCAGCAATGAGAGGAGCTGAGAGTTTAACAGGCAGAATGGTGTGTGAGTATCTTATAAAAGTACAAAGCCCACGCCCTCCTGCTGACTATTGCTCCTCTGTCATGCACATTAGTGGTGGAAGTGCCAGAACAGCAAGTTTCATATCAGGAAGTTAGGTTGGTGAACTTTGTGTACCACTATTACTGCACCTGACTGGCCTGTTACTTTCCTCAACTTGTAGTCTTCATATTGCAGTTTTTTAATCAACACCACAATGAGTAATTTTCAAAAACAAAACACTAATTAACAAGTGGTTTATATGAGCATTTACTGATTAACTTTATTACCCAACATAAGAAAATAAGCTCTGAAGAATAGCACTATTTACATGAATACAAGTGAGACAAACAGACTATACAAATATGTAAATGATATGTTACAAGTTATTATACACATAGTTCTGTTAAGGGAACAGTATTTGTTGACATGTTTCATGCTGGGAGGTTTTGTATACTATGCCATTAGATGCTCACTCAATAAAAGGGACAAAATCTCAAGTATGGACAAAACAGATGAATCATCTGGAATAATTTTAAGCTCAAAACATTTTTTAAAGAAAGATCTGTCAAGCAGTCATAAGGTTTTTGCTCAGTTTTGAAGCTGTTCTGTAACGCTATGTATTTCACTCTTGGGTTTAATTTAAAGTCCCATCCATGTAAAGATAGACATTGCAAATTAGCTTCGGCTATAAAAGCTGTATGTCATAACGGTTCATGCTATATACATGTGCCTATGTAAATAAACATTAAAATAAAGTTTAATTTTAGCTGTATTGGATTTATCATTTAATTTTGGTCCTACACTTTATGGATAGAAAACGGAAATATATATGTACCTATGTAAATAAACATATTAGCTTCGGCTATATAAGCTGTATGTCATACCGGTTCATGCTATATATATGTACCTATGTAAATAAACATATTAGCTTCGGCTATATAAGCTGTATGTCATACCGGTTCATGCTATATATATTAAAATAAAGTTTAATTTTAGCTGTATTGGATTTATCATTTAATTTTGGTCCTACACTTTATGGATAGAAAACGGAAAGCAGCGTATACTGGTAAATTAGCCTATATCAGGTAAGTATGAGAGCTGTTAGCCTGCTGTAAGCTTACTTTCTATTTATTCCCGTGGTGTCCACATGTGTCTCCTCTCACCTCATAGACTCCTGGGTTTATTATTTACGGTCAGCTCTGCCTGCTCAAAGACAACTCAAGTAAAACGTCCAAAACATTTGCTTTACAAAAATCAGGGGGAAGCAAAGTAACCAAAAGTGACCGCATTCATAGCGCAAAGAATTGTGGGTCAGCGTCAAACTCTTAGTCACGTTCGTTCATATGCTCCAGAGGAGATTTGTCCTCTTAGGAAGATTAATCAATAAACTATGCCAGCAAGTAGGGCGCTAATATGTGGCACACATTACAATAAGTACTGTACTAAAAACGTACAATTCCGAGGTACCTGTACGTTAGAGTATTCTATTTTCCGCTATACAGCCCGAATCCACTGCATTTCAAAGGGTTACCGTTCGATTCCAAACCTCGTGATGAAGTGAAATCCGCCTCCCTGCAGAGGTGCTATTTTAATCTGAACTGAGCCTTCACCCTAACCAGCCAGTCCTTGTTTAACCCGTTTACGTCTGACCGTTTACGTCTGCCTATTCCTGAGACTTACGTGTCTTCACGTTATAGCCTATTTGACAACTTAACCCTTATGTTGTGTTCATTTCATGTTAAACAAAATTGTGTTTCCGGTCAAAAATGACCGTTCCATTAAGACTCATCATAAAAAAGTGTAATAATACATATATTATCACTATTTGTTGTGTTAGAATTTTTTATCAACTTAAGTTTTTGTGAACATTAGAAAACTTAATGTACTTTAATTGACTGGAGTTTATCTGGTCGTCTTGGAGTTTAGCTCTCTGTCTTATTTTTTAAGACAGGAGCTAAATGCTTAAAATCAAGTTTCTAAAATGAGATTAGACACTGAAAAAAATCTAACCAGAAGAAAGTATTAATTTGAGTGGACATTCCAAAGGAAATTACCAAGGACATTTGGTAACTGGTAAATTGCTGGTAAATTAGTTTTTGGATCTGTACACACCACTCAAAATCAAAAGACTCATGTATGCTTTGATGTCTGTCTGGGTTACCTCCTTACAGTTTTTACAAATCCGTTTCCCCTCCAAGTTGGTCATGTTTACCACTATGGTTTTGATGGACTCAGTCAGGAACAGTTCGAAGTGGGATTTGATGCCATCAATCCAGGATATAGCATATTTTGTAGGTCCTGGAGTCATCCTGATGACATTTTCAGATGAAAGCCTACTTGGATTCTCAGGTGGGGATGAAGACCAGGATAACTTCCCATTCTTTGACTTGAATGTGACAGCAGCCTCAGCATGGCCATCCTCTTCATCACTGAATCCTCCTCATCAGTTATTTCTTGTCATCTTCATCTTCTGACACTTCCTCCTCTAATACATCCTCACTGTCAGTTTCTGGCCTCTCTCCTCGTCGCCAGTGTGGTGGTCAAGAGCCTCACTTACGGTATATCAACCTGCCATGGTGCTGCCACACAATGAACTGTGAGCAAGGCCCCCCAAAAAGCCTTATATACTAAAGCTATGAGAAAAGTTCAGTGTTATTGAAACAACATTGCAACTGCCTGTGAGAACTGCCAACACAGGTGTTGTTCACGTGGGAGAGACTCTACTGGGCAAAGGTTCCCATAGTGGTTGCCAGGGAACCAAGGTGTGTCCATCTGACAAATGAGGATGTATTGTACCTGAGCTCAGTTTCTTACACTAATTGTCTCCCCCATTTATTTCTAATGACCGGTCATTTTTGACCAGGAACACCAAGAGTGTACAAAAGTTGAATAAAGCAAACAAAATTGTATGCAAATTGATACTGATATTTTTGTACTGAAATCCTCTTTGTGGACAAAGTCATGGAATCTAAGGTCAGTCTGATCAAATTAACTACATTTTTCAGAGATAAAATATTTTAAAATGGTCAAATTTGACCAGAACACAACACAAGGGTTAAGTTATATTCAAATAACACAAAATAAAATCAGTAATTGTGTAGCCTACTATTAATCACAAGGGGAAATTTATAAGATACCCAGAATCCTATGAGGTCAAAATTAACCTTTAGCCAGATGCAACATTCTACTGACAATAATATAGGCCTATTAGTTTATTACCAGGAAATACATGATGTACTGTTTACATTCTGTTTGCACATGCATAATTGCACGACGACTGTTGACTGCTGCACATGCTGCTCCCATGCAGCATACATTGTTATATTCTTGTATTATTTTTTTTTTTACTATATTGCTGCATCTGCGCTGCTTAAAGTGCCTTAGATTTTGTGTTATCTACTTTATATTTCACTTGTATTTTGTGGCATTCATGTGGATGGCAAAGTAAGAATTTCATTGTACAGGGAAACACGTTTCCTAACGGTGCATATGACAAAAACACTTTCAACTATTATGAAATGGGCCTTTCCACAAAATGAGCCTAGCCTATCTGATGTCAATAGATTGTATATTTACTAAAATTTTGAATGCAGAGCTGTGGCTATATTTGAGTAAAAGAACCATTCCCCCATTGGATTTTTTTTACTCAAACTTCATTTTGCACCCTTCTCACAGATAAGGTGATAAGAAATAAGCGTCTGGAAACCTACAATCTGCTGGCAGTGAATAATCGACTCAATGGATTTCCCCCAGAGCATGCACCTATTTGAGGTCAGTGGGTATGCCACATGTGATGTTAACGAGCAGATTAACCACCCATGTTATTGTTGGTGCAACACTACCTGTTGGGAATGTGGTCACCTGTAACACAAGGGATTTGTGTGGGAAGACACAAATGATCAATGGTTGGATTTACCAACCTTGATGTTTCCACTGCTCAGTGGAACATAAGTAAAAGTAGAAACACTGCATGCCTAATAGTTCCTACAAAGACTTAAGGATTAAATACTATGCATGCCTTATGCTAGTTAAGATGGTGTTTCTCAAGTACCCACTTTGTTTAGAGTTGAATCTTTTCATTGATACACATTTACCTGTGGAGGAGAAACTCAGATTAATGCTGTTGCAGTTTGTCATGCTGTCCACTTTCATATTCTGACTTGAACGTCAGGTAGGTTTGAGGTATTGTAGCTTAGTGTCAATGTTTGTGTTGTCAGAGGTTCCAGATCTTGTGCAAGAGTGCACCCCCCTCAGTGCAGTTCCTGTTTAAAACAATTTATGTAGCACCCCCTCACCCCCAGTGGTTGTGGTTAAGAGAAACAAATTGACAGCACCAGCAAAAGGAGCTGTGCAGGTACAAAGTGTCTTGTTTTCAGGAGGCAACTCAGGTTTTGTTCTGAAATGGATTGAGTTGTGATGGTGTAAAGAAACTAGAACATCTAGAAGCTGCCATGGGCACTTAAATGATACCCAAGTCATCTTATAGCTTTTAGTGCTTTCCTATGCAGGCCAAGCACACACCTCCACATGTTGACTGAAGCCAAGGACTTTATTAAAGCCATGTTAAGGGACAATGCTGCTCTACCAGAAGTTATGTTAAGGGACAATGCTGCTCTACCAGGGTATTTTGTTCAAAACCTTGAAGTACACATTTGAGTGTTTATATTACTTAACCACTGTAATCCTCAGGCATTACTCTGTTAAGTTTGTCTGAAGTCCGTAAATGAAGACACCTATAGCTTCAGCCAACTTACTTTTCCATTACCCATACACATCCCAGGACAGATTGTCCACAAAGTGACACATCTGGCTTGTCCACTTTGCAACAAGCATCCAATACTGTAATTTGTGGCCACTTGATATTTGTTGTGCACCACCATTAATCATGCATTCCTTAAAGTTTCAGGAACAAGATTTTAGCCAATCCATATTTTCTCAGCCTCACAAAAACTTAAGATAACTCTTGCACCCCAACTTCAGTTTATACTAGCAATAAAACAAACTTTGTTTATTACAAAATTCCATTTATTCTCAGTACATTTCAACAGGTTTTCAAACTGCAAACTCTTATGGTGCCTAGAAGGGAGGGAAAGAAGGATGATTAAACAATTAACCAGTTTTTCTATTTGCAGAGTCAAGACACTCACCTTTCCATCAAAACAGTGCTCTTCACACTTCCTTTCTAGTGGCATACAAATTTCAACAGAACACATGAAATAGATCTGCAGAGGAAGAACAATCATGATAATAATAAAAAAAATCACATTACCAAGAATTAGATCTGATTAGGTTCATTGACTTACTTCTTCATCAAGGTACTGGTTTTGTGTTATATCCATAAACTGGAAGGCTTCAACAGAGAAGCGCCTCTGGCTGCCATTTTGGGAAAAGCCATGGACTTTAAGGATGGCCACAGTTGGATCATAAGGGTTGGCACACCTACAGATGCAAACCATTTGTGTACAAAGGGCAATGATGCATTTAATATGCAAAAAGTGGGTTCAATGATAAAATTCCTACCCTTCATAAATGAGCACCAGTGCATTCTTTGCAGACCGAGGATAAGCTACACAGTAGTGGACAAGTAGTAGTGCATCTGGTGTTGGAGACAGCAGGTTTAGTTCAAGAAACACTTTTGTGCCAAGGAGCAGTCGCAGGGTGTGATGGTTACTGGGCCAGTAACTTGAGAATGTAGCATCTGTTGAATTACAGACAAGTACACCTGAAATTAGACTGCTACTAATGTACAACCTCACTCCAGCAAACTGAACAACCTATTGCATGTTTGACAGTGAATACTTCACCTTTAGCAATTCTCAGCTCAACACCATACAAGCCGTCAGAGATCACAGTTGATGGCAAACTGGAACTTGGTATCTTAACAGTGTAGCCGACGCTGACCAGTGACTGCGGAGCCGCATAAGCTGTTCCGTTTTTGTAATAGCGGCATTCAAACACAAAGCTACAAAACAATGGTTAAATCTGTTCAAGCATTCATGTACAGTAAAGTCTACAACAGAACCATCTACAGAAATAAGTACTGTATGACCCACTCACCTAAGTGGATTAGTTCTTGCAATTATACCATACTTTAGTTTCAGAGCTGGGATAACAGTCTGCACTTCAGTCAGGTATACCACTGTCTCACCAACTTTCTGTAGAGAGGTCAATTTTCCTCCTTAGGTAGTGACTTCAAGTAACACAATATGCCATCTTAAGCACAGCCTCAAAGACCAACATGTTTTTAGAGTGGGTTTTTTCCCCTCCCTCTCTCAACTACAGGAAAGTTGAATGTTTTAAGATCTAGCATCAGAAGTTCATACAATAAAGCCATTAAAATGTAGTCTGGCTGTAGCAGACTTAAAAGTAGTCATCAATTTCAAATGTGCAATGCTGGAATAGTGTGGTTTGGGGTAAGGAAAAGCAACCATCTTACATCAAGAGTGCACCAAGTACCATTTTAACTGGTGTTGTGCTATCAAGAGCACACCAAGTACCATTTTAACTGGTGTTGTGAACCACACTGGTTAAGCAGGAAGCCAACTTACATAAGAATGTGTTCCACATTCTGTGACTTGAAACTTGAAGATGGCAACTTTGTCATTAACAATGACAGGTTTACAGTGTGGCATCCCAGGAGTAACAAGCTTGGTGGTATCCACAGGGACAAAAGCAGAGTTGTATCGAATTGCAAAAACAAAGTGGTGATCATCAGAGCACTCTAAGTGAGAAGACAATGAATAGCATCATTTACCAATTGTCTGGAATATTTGTTTTTAGAAATATTTCAAGTGCCCAGACAGAATTCTTACCATCCAATGGATAGTAACAGGCAGATTCACAGTCATCAAAACAGCATCCCATTGTTTCACAGGCTGAAAATGATATGCCCAATTCACCACAACGCACCCACTCCTCCTTGGAAACTGCACAATCTGAAATCAGTGCAATGCATCATGCATTCAGTCAAGTCTCTCCAGCCATGACAGTTCAGTCCTAGTCAACAGGGAAAGCTCTGGCACCAAGATAGTGCTTTGCTAAACTTGCATCTTTAACATCCTAGATTATGCTCACCTTTCCTTGGTCATAAATTCATGTCATATTGCTGGTGTAATGTCATTTGTTACATGCCTTCCAACATTCTTATATCCACTTCATTTGCTATATTGTTTAACACCAATTTGCACTCACTCCGTGCTTTCAATGGTGGTGATGGAGACACTGATGGCACAGGTAATTTTGAGAGTGAGGGAAAGGCCCGGGGCAGCGGCTCTGGGAAATGGTGAAAGTGAGCAGACAAATGAGTGCCAGTCATTTAATAAGTGTCTGGAATACTTGAGTTATTTTTAGAAATATTTAAAAAGTACCTAGACAATTCTTACCGTTCACTGGATAGTGGCAAGCAGCTGCGCCATGATCAAAACAGCATCCCATCTTTTCACATTCTGAGGCCGATACACCCACATCACCACAACACACCCAGTCCCCCTTTGAGACTGTGCAGTCTGAAAAAGTGCAACACATCATATTCAGTCTCCAACCACAGCAGTTCAGTCCTACTCAAAATGCAACCTTGATTCCAAGAGCAAGGAAGTACTTATCAAGCTTGGTATTAAACATCCTGCACATGTTCTTGTGGTCAAATCCATGGCATTACATCAGCAATATGCCATTTGTTACATACCTCAACATTTTTATATTACCTCTATCACTGTATAGTTTAAAGGCGGTTTGTACTCACTTCGTGAGTGTGATGGCGACAGTGGCAAAGGGGACAGCAAGGGTGATGGACCGTTTTTACATCCCCTGGCATGCAATTGACTACTGGAGCGAGGAAAGGGTCCAGTGCTAAACTCTGAACCTCCCTCACAAGACGCAGTAACAACTTGTGCCTGGCCATTCTCATCAATGTATGACAACCGCAGTTTGTATCCATCAGTCTGAAATTTAAAAACAGCTTTTCCCATTAATCAGCTTCTAGATAGGCAAAACTGCAGATTAGTTACCTTCAGAATTGAATAAAAAAAGTTGGCTCTAAGGAATTTGCTTTTCAGTAACATACATGTTCCACATTGCAGTCACTGAAGGGTATAGTAAAGTTGTTGTTAAAAGGGCCCACATCATACCCACAAGACCCTGGCACATCCATGACAGACATATTCGTCTCACCTGGAGAAGGAAGATAAAATGCTATTAAGTTAACAAGAAATCAGTAAAATTAAGACTTGAAAGTTAGAGTACCTACCCAAAACTTTAACTTCACTTAATTGACCTGTCAGAGTAAACTGGAATTCAGCTTTGCCACAAACCACACCCAGCCCAGACGAACTCAGACCTGTATTGTCGGTACAGCTGCTCGGATGGACAGTTGTAGCTTCAACCTGAAAGCCACGACCACTGACCCAGCTTCTTTGGCCAGAATCTACATTTGCTAGCTCAAAGGCATTATGAGAAAGAGGGTGGACAACATCACTAGTGGCCACGCCATCAACGTCGGCATCACCACCATCATCATAGTCCTCGTACTGATCTGGGAGGCATAGATATAGCAAGTGTCAGATTATGACAGTGTTAAAAAAAAAAAACAAACCTGTAGGTAGAATTTAACTGAGCCACCAAAGTCAATACCGGAGTACTCATTCAAAGAAAAACTGTTTATAGTCTACATGCAAGAAGTGATTAAGTCTCACTGGAGACGTGTCATTCATAAATTTTCCTGATCTAATCCAAATTTTCACAGTAATGCAGAGGTCTATTTATGCTTTTTCTGATTTATGAACTGATTAAGCTACTTATTAAAATGCATGTCAGTTTAAGCATTTGGTTGAAAAAGTTACAAATAACACCTCAAATTAAAAAAAAGATTGTGAGAACAGTGAAGCAAAATTTAAGTTTGCTAAAATTAACCATTAGCTACTGATCTTTCCCGACCCAATAAGGCTTTAGCAACAAGACAGTGTAGCAAGTTGAAAATGCATTATGAATCCAACTTCTCACTTTAAAGTCATAATTTCTTCCTTCAAGAATTACAGAAAATGGCTTTAAAAAAAAAACTACACTTGTTATGAAAGGAGTAGGTTACCTGACACAGGCTCACTAACTAGGTCACCCCACTGCTCTGTCCCATCCAGTTCCCAAAGAGGAGCTTCGTTAACCTCCTCCCAACCACAAACTGAAACCAGCAACAGAGCTGCAGTCAGTACTACCGACAGCCCACCCCTGAGCCCAGCCATGGATCCAAGTGAAGTCCTGACAGGTCTTGCTGAGCACCAGATAAAGGCACAGCCATGTGGTACAAGGACAGTGGAGTTAATTAACTGCACCTGGTAACTTCTAATTAGGGTAATTGAACACACCTATGTAAATGAACAGGACAGGGCTAGACAAAGGAGTAGTTCTATTTCATGTTTCTTGGAAGATGTTTTAAAATAAATGAATTGACCATTTATTCTGTGTTTATGACATCTATTATCTTGAACATCAGTTTTGTTGCCCAAATGCTGACCTCATAAGATACAAATTAGACAACGCTGGCCCATTTTTGAAAAAGTGAAACATTCTTATCCACTCCCTGGCAACTTGAGGTACACCTATACAATGCAGTCAGTACAACAGCTCTGCAGCGCTTTTTATTTCCTGATGAAGGTTATTTGAGCAATTTTTGTTACAGTTTTCCAAGAGGTGTCCGACAGTGTCAATCAAAATTGAACATTATCTTGGGCAGAACTGTTGGTTGAGCCTGTATTTGACTACGTTGGATTTTACAGGTACACCTAGTAAAGCAGTCATTAATTGTGATGGGATGTTATCATCACAAAGTCACACCATGGATGTTCCTTTTTCCAAGTTTAATCAATACAGTATTCAATGTGTTGCATTATATTTTGAAGTGTTTTGTTATAGAAGCTGTTGGACAAAATTCTCAACAACACGGTTCCATCACCCACTAAACCCCCCAAAGAAGAATCAATGCTGTTAAAATGTTTCACACAGATAAGGGTTATCACACAGCTGTTGTGTTGCACTCCTTTATACAGGTACGGTATAGCTTAACTAACAGACTGGTATCCCACTGTTTATGGGATCTCATTGAATTTCCAGCAATTGTTTCATATAAAAATGAAATCTGTAAACTATTATCTTTTCCCCATGTGTTAAAGCAAACAGTGCAGATATTTTACAGACCATCAAGTGATTTTTATTGGGTGTTTATTAAAAGCTGTTGCAGTGTTCACCCTCTTATTTCCAATCTTTTGTGAGATGTGTCAGGTGTGTATGGCCAAAAACAGTATGTCCCATATTTTGAAAAAAAAAATCCTGCACACTAACAAGAGGCTCTTAAGGTGCCAAAAAGGTTTATTTGACAATGATCCTTTGACCAAAACATTCACATTTTTACTCACATCTTAACTTGATTATGTGCATGTGTAATATGTTTTAAAATAAAAATTTCAAAATATTTATTCCATAATTATAGATCATAAATCTAGTGTGCCAAAAGACTTTGTGTATATTTCAAGCACACAAACATCTTGTGTTCAATTGCTGCACCACACATCAAATAAACAGACTCTTCAATAGTCTTTATTAAAACACAATAGATTCTTTCTTTAAATTCTACTTATTTAAAAAAAAACAAAAAACGGGTGCTTCTTTAGTAATGAGACAAACAGAAAATCACTTGTAGGCGTTGGCTTTATGTTTGGGTAAAAAGTTGAAATTCTTTGGCACGGGTCCAAGGAGCATTTCACTGGAGAAGGGAGAAGGTAAAAAGTCAAATATATTAGTTTAACTCTTGAATCTTATTAAACTACGTTCTTCAAAGGGGTGTTCTACTCACCTAATCCTGACCCAGTCCCCAACATTCTGACTGGCCATCAGTGTCTCCAGGTAGTTTCTGCCCATGTAGTACGGTGGTCTCTCATTAATCTTCTGAGGCACTCGCTCCAACAGGCCTACTGGAATATATCTGAGAGAGAAAGAGGAGGAGCGAGAACATCGTCTTGAATCTCTCTCCAACATGCAGAGAAGTATTGAAGCGCACGTTGTTGCTCACCTGCACATGAATGAGAGCCACTCCAGCATGAAGGTGCGTGTCTTCTCCACACCTCGAGTGTCAGAGCCCCAGTGCTCTAGACCGAAGTTGGTGAAGTCCCTGAGGATGTCCAGTCGCTCACTGGATGAAATGTCCCAGTGTCTGCTCTCCTTTATCTCAGTGAAGATCCAGGGCTTAATGAGAGCACCCCTGGACAGAGACAACCAAAGTCATACACGCAACACTGATTTAACATTTTAATCAATTTTCACTTCTATGTGGATTTATTCTCACTTTAGTACAAGCAATAAAGTACAAATGGTACACTGCTGATGTACCACAGCAAGTAAACAGGGGGTGGACAAAATAACAGAAACACCACTTAAAAACAACCAAATCACAATTACACTTTGAAGCTAGACTGAAGGCAACAGAACTGTGTTCATCCTTCCAGTAGAGTTCAGAGACTTTTAGATTCCTAGATGCCTAGGTGCACTGAAGCTGTTCTGGTGGCATACAGTGGCCCTTCTGAGACACTTTACATTGGGATTTTCTTTTATTTGTCACCCATCTGTATGTATACACCTTAAGGCTAAGGACAACCATCTATATGTATAAGGTTTTAGGATTATGATCATTTCCATTTATGAGTTTCAAAGCAATTTAAAGTAACCATTTTGCAATGAGGTAAAACAAACATGTTCTCAAACTTTAGCCACATTAGTCACAGTGAACGGAAGCAAGGAGGAAAGGTGTTTACAAAATGGAGCTTACTGCTAAGTTAAAATATATTTAAAAAAAAGACAGCATGCCAATATGATAGTATTACCGTGAAAGGCTGAGCACCAAACAGATATTTGACTATTCTGTCGATACTGTGTAGTCATTTACTTGACACCAACCTTGCAATCATGATACCAGAAACTCCGGTTTCTTTCGCTTTCATGGCGTCTTCATAGGACAGAATGTCTCCATTACCTGGAGCAACAAAAACAAGTCACCATAGTTCACCCCATCAGTACTTCACTGTTCAACATTACACCATTTTACAACCTTGAGATTACCAAATTGAATCAACTTCTTTGCACATTAAAGAGCTTGTTTTTACCCTATTTAAAGTTAATCTGCTTTATATGTAATTGCAATCTTTAAAAATAAATCCACAGACCAAAAAGTGGGACAGGGCCAGCCAGCTTGGAGCAGGTAGTGATATAGTCCCAGTCAGCTAACTTAGTGTAGCGCTGCTCTCTGGATCGGCCATGCAGCTGTAAGAAAACAACAGCATCAGTGGTGTGGCACCATACGACGTAGCCTCAAAGGAAGAACAAAACAGATCGTGTGTGACTGATTACAAAAACAGGGTATTTGGCAAAATATGACAAAAACAAGAGGGCTTATAGTTACACAACATAAAGGTTTTACAGTTAGTTTTTCACATCGTGCTTCTACTGCTACAAATCTTACTGTGATCATGGAGACTCCCCAGTTTTTCATCTCTGGGATGAGCTTGTGTGCTATGTTGCTCTTCTCCTGAACACCAGTGCGAATCTTGACTGTTAAAGGGACGTCAAGGACCTTCAAGAACAAAAACGCATTTTCAATCAACCTTTAACTTGAAGCTAAAGTTAAATTGTAATACATCCACTGTACATGTAATCCAAGTAAAATAAAAACATTGTTTTGCTTGTACAGTTAACAGCCAACACCATAAGACTGCCAACACTGAAAAAACAAAAGTCGATGCTTTACATTAGTTAAAAAGATCCACACTTACATAGTTCATCCCTTTGACTATCTGCTCGAATTTTCTGGTGCGTGTCATCAAGCCGCAGCCTCCACCCTGATGAGGGTAACCAAACAAACACCATCTGTCACTGTGTCATATTGATGTTTAATATTTCCTGTCCAGGACAATTGTCTGTGCTTTATACACTCAGTCATACAACACAAATTCTCACTCATTACTGTACCATGTTAGTTAATCTTTACTGGACCCCTTTATCTACCTGCATGCTTATCCTTTTTGTTTACTGATTCTGTCTCAACCACTGTAGAAAGATATGGTTTTATTGCCTGTGGGGAGATTCTGAAGCTAATCCAAGGTGCTGATTTTAACACTCAAGGTGGGTCCCAATTTAACCACAAAGGACACATAAAGGTTTTGAAAAAGTAATTAATAAATGTGTGAAAAGCTGCTACAATTGACAATGCAAAATGTAAAGAAGTGAAAACCACAGTAGAGCTTCCCTTTAATCTGAATGGGACTACTTGTTTTGAACAGGTGTTTACCTTCTTGTAGACGAGGTCAATGGGGCATCCACAGTTGATGTCTACAAAGTCGACGTCAGTGTTGTTGTTGATGAGCTCTGCGCACCTCGTCATGGTGTCAGGGAAGCAGCCCTCCACCTGGAGACACAATTCGGACTTCAGAACTGAGGCCTTCTTCACTCACACACTAAACCCCCCTCTGTTCTCAGAGAAACAGACATTGCCAAAATCCACAAGTCATGTTTACAGCAACAACATAAATACTTACTCAATAACTCTGAGGTGTTCTGAGGAGTATTAACACATTATGACTTCTATGACAACCTCACCTGGACGCCAAAAAGATCTTCACTTTCATGTCTCTTCAGGAGTGCCCATTCTGACTGCTGTCCCTGCAGCAGGTTTGTACACATGGCCATCTCCCCACAGGTAATGTCTGCACCAAAGCGCTTGCAAGTACGACGGAAAGGCAGATTGCCACACTGAGGTGAGGAAAGAAGGCAAAATATTTAGTCCAAATGCTCATTTATGGGCCAGTATTTATTATAACTAGATTCAAATTTAAAATAAACTCTTGTCCTCAATGACAACAAATCTGATTTGTTTGATCAAGAACACATCAAGCTTTAGTACTTGTTTCAGTTTGATAGTACAGTACTTACAGTTGTTAGAGGAGCAAGGTAGAGCTTGTCTCTAAAGTCCACCTTAAACACAGTAACACAAAACGTACTCCTTATCCATTAACACACATTACTAGTGCAGAGATTTCATTTGTGCAAAGGCCCTCCTAAGTATTTATTGAGATCAGTTGGCTTTTATTAATGTGCACATTAATAAGTAAAGTTACTGCATGATATTTGTTGTGATATTTAAAATTATTTTACAAACTACTTCAATTTTGGATGAAAGATGGTTGGCAGAGATATACCTGTTTCTTTTCACTGGGGCACAACTTGATGATGTCCACATCAGTCAGCGGACCAACAGTCTTCACTGGAGGCTGTTTATCTGGGCTCCTCTGCAGCTTGTCATAAAGCAACCATGTCAAATACTTTCAACCAAAGCAATACACTATATATACAGTGACTTCTTCAGCTGACCGGTAGGCTGGAAATAAGAGGTAATGTTCTGAGGTGAAGCTTGTACCTGTGTTTCTGTAGATACATGCTGCTCCCCTCCTGTTGATACTTGAGCTGCACAGGCTTCAACTGGGTGAGACAGAAGACTGAATTATGACATCAAATTCAAATTTCACATTTTATTTTACAAAAACATACATTTATTACATATGTCTATGTCTGAAAATACTGCCAATAGGTCATGTATAAAAGTGTTTTACTCAGGAAAATCTATTTAAAACCTCTTCAGGGCTCTTACCATTCCCTTGCTGTTCTTTTTTGTCTCTGTTGCTTGAAAGTGTTTTGAGGTACTCTGCTGACTTCTTGAAAACCACTGAATGCTTCCTCAGACGATTCTGGAGGTCTTTACTCAAGCTGTTCTTCACTGGCTTCCTGCCTTCATAGTCCTTAACTAGTTCTGTGTTCTCCATGGTGTGGAAGTCAGGTGTAGTGTGTGCCTTGGCGAAGCGGCAGGTGAGACCGTATGCACACTTTCCAAATGTGTTGTAGAGGTAGCAGCTCTCCCCGATGTCAGCAGGCTTGGAGGCCATGTACTTCGCTACATCATGACCAAAGTGGCATTTGTCTCCAAAGGGACATTCCCTATTGTCCTGAGTGGATGTGAGAAGTTACGACAATAACTATCAGCTGACAAAGTTATAGAAAAGTACTGTATGTGGTATTTGTGGATGGTCAGTTAAATATTAATACCTGAATAACTGAGAGACACAGTCGTTTTTCTTCATAGGTGGTAGGCTTTGTGTGTGGTCTGGATTTATTTTGTCCTCGCAGACGTTTGCTATCTGCCTTCCCCGGCTTAGTCTTCTCCTCAGGCTCCAGTTTGAGCTTTTTAGCTTCAGGTTCCTCCACAGAGGTCTCCTTTGTCTCCTCAACAGTGTTGTTTTCACTGGCATTTTCCTCTTTTACGCACTGCCACTCAGAGTCTATAAGCCCATGAAATTTTTCTTTAGTTGTTAGGAACCTGCAAAGATAAAGGAATAAGAAATGCATCACTCTACTGTTTCACAGTATGACATAGAACATGGACTAGCCATGGATATGGACTAACCAGTTTTGTAAAGTTGGAGTACGAGTTGAGTGTGCCAGAAGCTATGTGCATTCATGATAACCAGTAAACATTTTGGCTAGAAAAAGGTGGGTAATGTTAATGCTAATACTGACTGTGAGGGTAAAGGGGGACCTGGCAAAGATCATGATCACCAGTGTTTTGACAGCTGTGTGATTCAGTTATTTACATAGCGCCATGTCACAACAAATGTCGTTTGGGGACACTTTACAAAGAAAGGTCTAGACTTTACTATTATTATTATTATTACAGAGGAAAACCCCAACACATTTCCCTTGAGCAAGCACTTGGCGACAGTGGGGAGGATTACTGTCACTGAACGTCTCTGTATTTACATTCTGCCATCAAACCACATACACAAATTTGTGGAAACACTTGCCAGTGCCCGTAGTATTTTCCAGTGTGACTGGAACGGCTAGTTACTCACTCTGTTTTGATAGCAGCTTCACCCTTGACAGCTACATCCGTCCTGCCTTCGAAGGTTTCCTCCGCAGTTTTTTCCATCACACCTTCACAGGCTTTTCTCCGAACCTCTTTCTGAAACCACCAGACACGATCGCGATTAATTCTAATTTAGAGCTGTTCCGATCTCATTAAGAAGTTTAAACTAAACGTATACCATTAACTTTGATAACATATCTGTAACACAGTTTAATTCACAACAACAGTCGAATAGCGTGGGCAAGGGACTGTGCAACTTTTTGATAGGGTCCGTAGTGAACTCTTGGCACGCGAACATTGGTTCCGTCGAATAAAGTGCATATTCCCCTGTCTTCACAGTCTTAAACATTATCGAAACATTTTTGGTACGGAGGTCTGTATTTGAGCGATGGAATAAAATCTGAGATAAATAAGAACTCTTTTAAATTAATGAGTATATACAAATACCCGTAACTATGAACGTAACATATCTAGTCACAGGTCATTGGCTTGTTTGGCTATCACTTTTATTTCAAGACTGCATCTTCACATACATTTCAAGAACAGTTTTCCAAAAATGTAGAGTAATTAATATATCCTTGACCAGGAGACTTTTTTCCTTAATGCATGGGCATATTAAAGGAAAAGTGATTTTTAAGCATCAATCATCAGTGCTAGAAAAATAAGTTTTACTGTCAATAAACCATCAATTAATCCTTCAAGAGAAAATTAAGTGACAATTGTTTCTAAAGTCATTTAATTACTTTTCCATTTTCAGGCAAAAAAGACAAATATTCCCAATCCTCGGTTTAAGAATTTGCTGCCTCCAGTGTTTTATGTGATATTAAGTTGAATGTCTTTAGGTTTTGGACAAGGCCAGCAATTCGAAGGCATCATGAAACATATGAGCTTTAGGAAACTAATTTTCACACTGACATTCTGACACTTTAGATACTGATTAATAATTTTTTTGTTTAATCAATCAAAAAAAGTATTTGCAGAAAACACTAAAAATATTTGTGAGTTGCAGCCCTTCAAAACAAAGTACATTGAAATATTACAAATGAGACATCAGGAAGGTCAGAAGTGATATTTTAGTGACAAAATGAATGAATAAATGTTGAAACCAAATCACATGAGATTGTAACATTACAATACAGGTAACTGCATTCGGTCATGTGGTGTGGCACCAAGTTTTTGTAGCTTTGCAATAAACCGCTTTCTGCTCGAGTCCAGGATGCTGATGCCATTCTTCTGGAAGTCATATCCCACTGTCTTCAGCTCCTCTAGTCGCCTTGTAATGTTTTGTGTGCTGTAGTCCAAAACCTTGGGCTTTTCTATTATCTGCTTCATTGTTATTCCTCCTCTCAGGAGACAATCCAGTTTAGTGTTCAATGTGCTTGGTCCAATGTACAAAATCACTGGATAGCTCATAATCAGTTTTTTAATATCAGCTTTCTGACAGCCAAGTGAAGTCATCTTCTCCTGGAGGATGCTGAAATTCTTTTTCATACACTCATTGGAAAGGCTTAGAATTTCTCCCCCAGGGCCCTGAAGAAAAGCAAGCAACTCTGAGTTACTTAAATTTAGGGAAGCTCTCAGACTGTCAATGTTTGTCTGGATTCTCTTTGTGCTTCTAATGAGAATATAGACGTTCCTTGATATGATAGCTTTAGCAAACTGCTCTGGATTCTCCCCACCAAGTTCTGCACAGATATCTTCCAGGAACTCCACCATCTGCTTGTTGAGCTCTAAACTGTTGGAGAATGTCCGTGGTGCTGTGGTCAGCAACCGGTGAAGGTCTTTGGTGTTCAGTCCCAGCGAGGTCAGAAAATCAATGTTTTCCTCCAAATTGCTATTATTACTGGAGCGGAAGAAAGACTCGGGTGAGCGAGCCAGGATGCTCACAATTTCTTCATCCGTCTTGAAGATGCTTCTCCACAAATCCCAGCGCTGTTCCAAGTGTTGAATCGAGCGGGTGATAGCACGGGGATAACGGGATATGATGCTGGCAACCACTTTACGGTTGACACCTCTGTCTTGCAAAAACTGAGCAACGCCTTGCTCATTGGTAAAGGCTTTTCGAAATACCCCAGGCTGACGCTGGTGTGCCCTCTTCACATCAACTCCCATGAGATTGAGGTTCTCCAACAGAGATTCATTCTCTGGATTCACCTGTGGCTTTGGCTCATTGCTGCTTGTAGTAGCACTGCAGACGCTCCTGCTGAGGTCAGTTGATGTGGGCTGTGCTGGATGGAGCCAAAAGCTGCGCAGCAATGTTACTGATGGATGGAGGCTGAAGGGAACTCTCACTTTGGATACTGCTGTCATTTTCAATTAGGGGGGGCTTCACTGTAACATCACTGTCAGTGTCAGTAGACCTAACAGAACACAAGTAAACAGAGAAACTTTGCTAAGGATACATAATTGGATACCTTATTGAGGAGGCTGAGGATTTAGCATGCATGCATATGGTTTAATAGTTATCATAGCCACTGAGCCATAAACAGTACACACTAGCTACATTAAATGTTAGTAATAGAGATCTAACAGGCTCGTATGAATTGTGTATCATATTTATGATCACGCAAAATATCTGTTACAGCTCATTACAAGCTTTACGTTAACATAAGTTAGGTTTGCTCCATATAAGCTAGTAAATAATACTTAATGATATATAGTACGACTGAATAGATGATGGAGAAGTTTACATACCACTTGAAATTCAGTAAAAAAATACAAAAATTCCAACTTTCATTAGCTGCCTAAAATAAATGTCTGAATGAAGTCCTGACTATCCAAGCAATCTTAACTGTTACCTCTTACAAACCTGTGCGATTTTTTAATCGAAGCCTCAAGCCTTAGCCCTCTTGTAGAAATTAAATAAAACCATAACACATACTGTAGCCTACCATGTGGTTAGTTACTCTCTTTCAATCTACAGATATCACAGCGGACTCTAAATGCGAGAAGAAAAGTGAAACTTGCAGAGAGTCTCGCGAGATTTGCCCTATGAGAAACCCCTAACATGAAACGTATTGTCAATGAGCGCCATCTAGCGGTTTGGTGTTTAATGACTTGTCTAATCTCTATCAAACCATTGATCTATTATTTAGATTCATGTCTCAAACACTAGATGGAGACAGAGCATTTAGGGATCCCCTGCTCCTACCTGGATGCATTTACAAGACTATAAGGCAAACATAGCTTGATGATACAATGAGAAACCATTTGAAATATGATTCTGTTTGTACTGATAAATCACAGTAATTTATTTGAGCAAACACTGTGATCGGGTATAGCAGAACAGTGGCCGCAGTGCAGTAAGCAAGTGTCCCACCACTTACGGTATGAATATTTTAAAGCGTCATGATATTTTCATTATACAAATTAGCTTTCACTCTACTGCTCTTACACTGAAGAGGCTATTTTTTTTTTTTTTTTTTGTCTCAGTCATCAACAAGACTTTGGCATTTCTTTTCCATTTGTACACAAATTTTATTTTTCTGACACTTGTTCAAAGCACCTTTGACTATATTTGTATAATGATGTGATAGGGAGCTGTTCTTTTGGCCCCTGTTGCTGACTGGCTTAATCATTTTTTGTGTAGGGCAAAAGATGAGAGGAAAACTTTGCAAGACACAATTAGGAAAAGTTAAGTTGAAGTTGATCCTACACTAATAAGAGAAAATGAATCATAGACAACTCAAACTTTATATCTTTTTGCAGTTTCCACTGGCATACAGTTTATTATGTACTAATTAAAACTAATGCAATCTAACAGATTGAGATTAAGAAACTGCTGTCTGTCAAACAAAAAGAAATAAGAACTTTCCATCTTTTTTATCATCTCACAGGAAAAAAAACTATTTGTTTGCATTAATAGCAGTTCAGACTTTGTGCATTATTTAATAAGTAGCCTAAAAATAACTTTCTTTTTATCTTACAATCATTTGACATACAGTATTTCCCAGTAAAGTAGAATACAAAACTAGTTTTCTTTATCACTGAAATGGGCTGTGTCCATTTTTATTTCAATGTGCTTATTTTCTCATCCCTCTGAAGCTCTTGGAAATGTTAAGTGAATTTATTTCATGCATTACTATTACTGTTGTTATGTTTTTAATATTACATGAAATTCTGTCCTGAACCATTTGTTGTGGTCTACTTAGTGAAGTTGCTTGGGTGACTACTGACACAGTACTCCTTCAGTGAATCAATAATTTAGAAACCTCCGAAACTTTCAAATGCTCAGTCCCTGTGGACGCTGTTGCACAAACAACAAGTGTTCACAGGTGGGTGCAAATAGATAAGAATGTCCAAAAGAAGATGGGTGGAATTCAAGATCAGCCAAACAATAAGCTGTTCAGCTCCTGTCAGTCGAAGACACGGAGCATCTTCCCCTTCAGCGGCAGTTGGTAAGTTTCAAATCTTTAATTTAACAGGCAGCATAGAAACCTTCACACATATGAATCCAAAGAAACTGTTCATCACAAATCATGTTGGGTCACAAGGTAACACTGGGCATTAAGCTCTTACCAGAGCTGTGACTAAAACTGAGGACAAAAAAAATGAGCTTTTTCTGGGAATTTGCAAAGGGAATTTACATTCTACAAATACACACATACACACAAGGTTGTGTCTTTTAGACTCAAAAAGAGATTTAGTAACCATACATCCGAATATTGTGAATGACTATGTGACGTTTGAGAAAATGTAAATACATGTCTGACGCTAATACTTTATATAATGTCAGAAATTTCCCTGTATCATGGAGCTTGAATTCAGCCAAAGCATTTTAAAAACCAACGAACTTTTTGAAAAATCTGAAAATGTTCCAGACTTTTCTTTGTTGGTTGAGTTGTACAGTAGGAATTTGAACTTACAATAAAGTAATATGTTTATCAAAATATCATGCAAATAAAATAATCAAGTTAAAACTGGTAAAAATTACTTTGGTCTTTCTGAAATCCTGCTGTGGCGTTTTAGTGTTAGAGCTGTTTGTAGACTCAGATCAATTCTACATGGAGTCTGTCAGTAAAATACTGGCTTTTCATTTACCATCGCACATCTGTCCTAGAAACCGATGCCAGTCTCTCAGGTTACCTGCTGCCACATTCAGCCACGACAGCTCAGATATTTCCTTTTTAAGGGAGTAAATTCCTGGGAGGCACAGTGATACATGATACTGTGAAATTCATAACAATCATAGCAGTGATATGATATTCATAACAATATGTAAAGTACTTTATGTACTGCTGGGTAGCTTGTGATTATCTGGTTTCAGCAGTTATACAAACAGTCTAGGTAATAGAATTAAGCAGATATCTTTGCAGTTATAGGTTTTTTTTGTATAACATTCCCACCTGCTATTTTTCTGGACAGTGTTTCTCTGTTAAGTTGCAATTGAGGGATAGTAACAAAAACAAAGAATTTTGTAATAAAAAGACTGTGACTCTGGAAGATATCCAATTGATTTGTCTAACTGGGTTGGCTGAGGCATCATACGTTTTTTCACAAAAGAAGGGCTTTGGATTTTTAATGGCCAGCGTTAACTGGAGGACTAATTACAGAAAGAAAAAGCAGATTCGGTGCAGCGTCCATATGGGCATCTTTCTGAGACATCCTGAAAAAATGTTAAACCTATCCTTCAAGGAGGCCTTTATATGTAACAGTTGTAAAGAATACGAATATTTCCCCCTGTCACTACTAAATACTCTTCTACCACTGATCAAAACTCTTGCTGCTGTGATGAACTCAGAATTTCCGACATTTTGTCAGCAAATGAAGGCAACACTGGTGGAATGCCAGGGGGTGTGGCCGTGAAGGCACCTACCCGACGTCATCATAGTTGGGTCTCATGTTTACGTGGAAAACATGGCGGCGGACTTCCAAAAAGGAGAGAGTATCAAGTAAAGGCTGCTGGAAGTCTGTGGCAGCGAGCTAGCTTTGAGTTAGCTTTGACATTTTTCTTACTGATATTTCGTATGAAGCAGTTTGCCTTTTGTTTTAGCCACAGGAACAACGGTGATGGAAGACGAGGAGAGGCAGAAGAAGCTGGAGGCCGGCAAAGCAAAGGTGGGATTCTCAGTTTTTTGTTAGCATAATTCACTAACATTGCTATAAAAGCTTTAAAATAGTAACTTAATATTGTTGACAACTTAATTTCTTTCGATTAGGTCTGTCAGCTGTTTTTTGTTACCACCTCCCCTTCGTATCCCCCTCTCAGCTGTCAGTCTCAACAAACATGCGCCCTGCTCCGACTCTGACAGCCCGGGTTGGCTTGCCGGGGGTTAGCATAGCTAATGTTAGCTACAAACTCCTTTGTCATGATACATGTCTGAAACGTTGTTCTGTGTTTCCTTTTTCTTTTTCGATAACTGTCGTGCAGAAGTGCATTAGTAATACTAATTTAATTACCCACAAGGTAAGCTACTACATTGTTATCAAATACTTATAAATGCAATCAGAAGTGAGGCTGTCAGGCTGGTGTAACAGGGTAGACAGGACATATCCCCACATTGCCCCACATGACAGACTTGTGTTACATTTGCTTTATAAACCAGAAGCATCAGCATTTGAGTCAGGAGAACCTCCAAACTATTCACAGTGCTGCAAAAAGAAAGGGTAATTGTAGACCTAATTTTGCCTGGTAAACCTGGATTAATGCCCATGCCATTTTATTTTGTCACAAAAAGCATTGTTTAGTGTGATAAATGGCAGTGAAATAAATTGTACATTGTTCTATGTGAGCCTGCATTTCTTGTAGCTTTGACTGGTGATGTGCTGTGTGACCTTGCAGCAGTTGTGTTATTGATATTTGCATACCCAAATATCTTGCCTGTGAATTTTCTGTTACATGCCTGCAAGGAACTCCTTAATAACATGACATATCAACTGAAGCTGTTCAGACCAAAGGTGCTATGTGCCGACCTCCACTTTTGTCATATAGCACATTATGATAATAAATAGATAAACATCCTGAGGCCATGTTGCTAATTGGATCAGACATATTTGTAACAGGTATTACATTAAAAATAATATTTTCAGTCAGTGTAACAATTTACAGATTGTAGACTTAATCTCGATAGCCTTATCACAGAACAAAAGTTGCAAGTAGTTGTCACCACTATTGACTGTGTATTACTCTCCAAATTACAGTTTTTGTCTGGGTGTGTTTCTATGTAAACACTTAATCTCGATAGCCTTATCAAAGAACAAAAGTAGTTGTCACCACTATTGACTGTGTATTACTCTCCAAATTTTTGTCTGGGTGTGTTTCTATGTAAACTCCATACATTTGCAGAAATAATAATAAGATTTGTTATTGAGAATGGAACTGGATTTTATTAGGCAGACTCAAAAATGCTGCAGAGAAACATCTAATGTGCTGCGTTGTGTCTTTTGGTCACTCCTGGTTTTGTAGCAGTCCTCGTGCTCCAGCTGTTGTGCTTGTGCAGTGAGAGACACTATGAAAAAGATCATCTCCCTGGTTGCTTCACAAGATAACCCTTTGCTATTTGTTAGCAAAGATATCCAGGACATAAACCCTTGCTCCAGTAGCCTCTCAAGCTTGAATTGGATTTTGTAAGCTTACTGTAGCTATTAGATTAATCTAAATCTGGAAAACATCACAGGATTTGACTTGATAAGTATATTTGTGAAGAAGCAGTAAACCATGGGGCGTGATTAGATGATGAAACTCTCAAATTATGTTGACAAACATTTAAACTGCTTTGGAAAGTATGAGCCTGAATCTGCATACATGTATTTACTTCAGAAGCTAAACAATCTACATAGAACCACCATGATTTTCCAGTTTAAAAATCAAAAAGCAACAAGCAAGGGTTCATGCTTATGTCTGTGTGAAGGTAAAACTATCAGTCATAAAAAGTATAGGATGCTTGAAATGATGTCTCATGCATGTGTCTATTTGGTCATACCAGACAATGCTCACAGTGCAAATTGTGGGCT